GTCATTTAGTTCGTGTTTGTCCATGAACCTTTATCTCATACCTGGGGTATTACATTCATGTTGGACAAGTGTGTAACTCAATAGCATGAGTTAGTGTTTGGGTTTTGTGAAAGGCAAGACAAGTGATTGTTAGTTGCTTTGCAACTAGTGATTGCTTATAAACTTTGTCAAGGGCTTTTGACACTTGCTTCACTCGATGATGATTTAGCAGTGATGGGCTTGCTTTACCGGATGGGGTTGCGGAGGATTGTGTCGTTAGACTTACATGGGTGTTCCATTTGGCATATCGACTCTACCTCTGTTGATATCATTTAGTTACATTTAGTTCATAGTGTTGGATTTCATTGAATCTTGGACGTGGTGAATCACTTCTTGATGATGTGTTATCTGTAACTGAGTATTGTTGAAGAATTTGTCTCGAATACTGGGTAAAGTATCTTTGACTTTGGTTAGCTTGGTTACAAGAGAGTTTTGAGTGGTGATTCACTCGTGCTTTCTTTTAGCTTTGTTCTAGTGTTGATAGCATTAAAGTGATGCCTTGTCATTGATATTATTGATGTTGAGATTCAAGTGAAATGAAATGTCTTTTCAAAAGATTGATGTCAAGTTTCATTAGTCTCGATGAAGATAGTGTTGATGATTTGGCTATAGCTTTGTGTTATTAGCATTCGTGCATTTGATAGTTAGCAACTATGTTGACGTTCAAATGAACTGAGTGGCAAGTTTGAGTTAGTTGTGTTCTAGACAAGATTATTTAGTAGGGGTGAAGTTTTGGCTTTTCTTTGAAAAGTGATTCAGTCGTAGACTATGCTAACTCTACAAGCGGAAGAGTTAGTGATTGATATTAGAATGTTTGAATCCTTATTGGATTTGAGTTGAAATATATCGATCATTGATGATTCTTCTTGTGCTTGTTATGAAGTGAGTTACGTCTTGCTATAGATGGATTCATGGAGTATCGTTTGGTGATCACTTGTTGAGCATAGCTTCGTTATGCTTACCTTTTGGATTGATGTAGATATGCTCTTCATTAGCTTTGGCATTATGAAGTTTAGCTTATGGATGTGTTGAAGAAGATATTGTGGGTTGCATCATAATTTCTTCTTTAGCATTGAAGTTAGTTCATGTAAGACTTGTGATCATTGTTAGGAAAGACTTGGCTATAGACTTCTTCGAACTTTTGGTTCTTTGAGTTTTATGCTCGTTGTTCCATTTGTTAGAAGTTGTTGGGGAAAGGCATTTTGGCTCATTAGTTTTAATGTTGAAGTTGGTTTTTGCATCTAGCAATCATTAGTGGTGTTTGACTATCATCTAGGGTAGTTGATTATCCTTGTCAAAGGTTTTACTTGATTATTGTTGGTATAGAATGATTTGCCGTTCTTTGGGATGGTGGATTCCTTCTTTGACAATGATTATGCATCTCTTTATTGATGGGATGATTGATGATCTTTCATGATAATCAGTTATCTCTTTGATGGCTTTTGGCTTTTCACAATACCACATGTTCCTTATGGTTTGCCTTGGATTGGTCTCTTGGGTTTGAAACATCAAAAGGATGTTGCTAACACTTGCTTAAGCAACTTGAGTTCCGTGGTATTATTGACCGGAATCTATTCAGATTGATTAGTGCAATAGTTAGCATTAACGAGTGTTTGTTGGCTATGCAACATTCATTCTATTCTGTTGATTATTGCTTGAGTTTGTTCTAATAGATTGGAATGTTATTTCCTCCGGGTGATACATTCGCGAGCATTTTGCTTGTTTGTCGATGATACTTGGTGTTCTTTGAGTTCCCTTTTGTAAGTTGTTTGGCATTCTATCTGCAATATTTGATAGTTAAGTTTAGACATTGAGTTTTCTTGATGATACATTTACTATTGCATTTTATTGGATAGTGAATCCTGTATTTACCAATTTTGATGATCTTGGTGGTTCCTATCTACTATAATACTGGTTTATCGGATGATAACTTCATTGGAATACTTTTGTGTTCTAATATAAGATTTAATCACTGATAATTAAGTCTCTAACATATCATTGTCTCTAACTTTGATATTGTCCATCTATTCATCTTTGAGTTTGGGCTAGTATAGACAGACTGGCTTCAGCACTTCGTGTGCATGTTGAAATCTCTAGTCATGGGGTAGCTACTGTCAACTGGTCACATAACCTGCCTCTCTGTCGATGTTCCTTATTCCATTAAAAGGGCATGACCATGTAAACAACTCTAACTGCCTGTTTACAGTAGTATATCTAAACCTTACCGACGGGTTTGGTTTCTTTATTTAGGAGGGTTGGGGCCTCTGGCTTCTCTCTCTATGTCCTTGCGGGTGTAAGCCACAAATTTTTCCTTTCCAATTTGCCAGCTTACCTCGTCTATCCGTCTGACACTGCCTTGGCTTTTGCTAAGTTCCCTCGCCAAGGTTCTCACCTATGGTACCAACTCCTACTTGATCCTACTTAGTTTCAGCTACTCACTGCACGAGCAACGGAGCGTTAGCTATCCATCCACGGATTCCCAATCTCTCCTAATCCCCCTCCCCGGGTTAGACTGGACTTAAGGTTCGGCTACACTCCCCGTAAGCACAAGCAGCTAAGCACACCAAGCTTCCAGGTTCCTAACATCCCTTGGTACCACAAGACTTGATCATGGGACCCTCTAAATCCCAAGTCTTGAGTGCAACACTTACTTCGGGACGCCGGGGCGAAACACCGTGGCCTAGCGGTCTGGTATGGGTACCTCTACCCCCCCACTTCCATCCCGAAGGAAGGCCCAAGCCCCTAGGAAGGGCGAGGACCAATGAGCCGCATGGTACTCAAGTGGGGCACCACTCCACATGAGCCGGGAGCACCGCAATTGGTTTCCCTTTCGGGAGTGGGAGCTGCTCTTGAGCAGTTTCTTGGATGGCCCCTCCGGCACCACCCAAGTCCATACTCACTCCCACCCAAGGCCCCTCGGTCCTAGTCTCAACCTCAAGTCGGTTTGAAAGCCCCACTAGAGAGTCCCTTCAAAACTAGTTCCTGGACCTCACTATCCCTACTATACTTTTGGAACCCCCTGCAGCCCCCCCCCGGGAGACGCACGCTTTGGGCTTTCACCCCTTGACCCATATTAGTATTTGGACTTAGTCTCTGGCTCGATCTCGGACTCGATTTTGGATCCGACTTCGGATTCGGTCTCGGACTCGATCTCGGACCCGATCTCGGACCCAACCTCGGACTCAACCTCGGACTCGGTCTCGGACCCGATTTCGGATCTCGGACTCCGTCTCGAACTCCGTTTTGAACTCGGTCTCGAACTCGGTCCCCGAGTCAGCCTCGGACTCGATTTCGGACTCTATCTCGAACTCGGTCTCCGAGTCGGTCTTGGACTCGATCTTCGACTTGGTCCAATTCGACGAACTCTTTGTCATTTTGGTCATGCTTTCGGGGTTCCTTTAGCCTACGACACCTCGGCGAGTTGGTTCCTTATAGCAGGCAGGGGCGTATCACACTTTTGTAAGCTGGGTGACTCTTAGAGCAGCAAGGGTGGCTACCTCTGTTAACCATTTCCTTGTCGACGACGGCCGGAAAGTGTCTAAGCTGGTAGTGCATCCATGTTAGACAAAGAGGTTGCCTCCTAACTCATTTAAGTTGGTGCATTTCTCACATAGTGTAAATACCGCGAACTTTTTCTGGAGTTGTTTCCTTGGCGGTATTCTAGACTCGAGTGTGCATCAACAAGGACGTCGATCTTCCCTAGGGGGTGAGAGTGTCGCAAATGTGACTTCAGGTATCAAAAGTTACCTGTCGGCTAGTCCTTTCGGATATTCTTTCTTTACTGCCACGATGGCAGGAGGTCGGTATTGCTGGACCCGTTATCAGTTCCCACTTGAGCTAGTTGAGAAACTGGTCAATGAACATGCACTTAAATTGGATAAACATAAGGTAGGAACCCTATGTGTTTCTTGCTGAGCATACTCAGCCTGGTTTGAGAAACTTGTGTCATTGGCTTGCACTTCGTAGTATCAAGAACCCCCGCGATATTGAGATTAGTCCCTCAATATTGCTAAATGATAGCTTACCGTGTCTGCCAAACACCCTCGCTATCATGCCCTTTGTGTTGGTCTCATTTCGGTCCCAAATGTTATTTATAGAAAGTGTCCAGATTTGTTCATTTGGCATATCTACAGAATGTAGAGATCATCCTGAACACAACAGTGTTCGTCCCGTGTCCACATTCGCAATCTAGGGACATTTCATATTTAATAAGTTTCGAGCTTGTCCTAGAGATTAACTCCTAATACTAAGGGAGGCTTGGGGTGAAAGCCCAAAGCGTGTGTTCCTCAAGGGGGGCTGTGAGGGGTTCCAAATGTATAGTAGGGATAGTGGGTAGGTCAGGTATGGCCGACCAACTTGAGGCATAGTTTAGCTCCCACTTGCGTGCCTTTCCTTGTTCTGCGTCCGGCTTGGGTCTAAACCCAAGTTCCATTCCATGCTGGCAGGTGGAGTACCCATATCCTCGCGTTAGGCCACCGGTATGCTGAAATAGTGCTAAACTCTGTTTGGCTTCGTTTTGCATGTTGGTCCTAGCATTGGGATGCTGGTTGCTCCAGGACTATTCCAAGTTGCTCCGGGCTCTTGCCCCTTCGCTCCTTGGGCTTTATGCTTGGGAGTTGCTCCGTGGTTCAATTCCGTCACTCCTTGGCTCCATGCTTGGGAGTTTGGCACCGTTCCTTCGTTTAGTGGCCCAAGGTCCTGAACCTCGGGTTCCTATGGACACGTGGCATGTGACACGTGGCATATGACACATGCCACATAAAGGGTTTAGGTTCGACTTCGTGGTGTTATCCTATGGTAAATCACCATAGGATAAAGGGTCAAAACCACATGCGCTACAATAGTGAATTGGCTTTGAGTGTTCCTTTGACAGTTCAAGGGATTCTCAACCATCCTTCGTTCTAGGTTATGGATCTTGGTTGCACAGACGTTATTCTTGGGGAGGAATGATTTTATGATAGGAAGCTAGGGATTGATTGGGAGCGTAATGTTTTGCATATCAAAGTTGGTAGCACTGTGAAAGAGATTGTTGGGATAGACAATAATGATACTCCATTGATTAACGCTTTGGAGTTAGTGACATGCACACATGAGATAGCTGATTCTGTGGTGTACCTGTTTCTTTCTAATATAATCATATCCGATTTGGAGTACATTTGTGGGCATAGGGCTTGGATGGATTCCATTCAGGAGGAGTTCCATAACGTATTTCTAGATGAGTTGCCTAATGGTTTACCTCTCGACTGTGGAATTCAGCATGAAATTGACTTGGTACCTAAAGCTACTCCTTATCCACGACAACCGACTCATACTAGTCCTGCTGAAGATGAGGAGATTAATAGGTAACTTGTTGAATACCTGTGGAAAGGGTGGTTATAGATCAACAAATCTCCTTGGGATGCTCCAGTGGTAATGGTAAAAAAAAAAGATGGTACATGGTGTCTCTACATGAATGACAAGGAATTGAATGATAGGACGGTAAAGAATATGTTCCCAATCCCTCGTATCGATGATTCACTCGATCATCTTTGTGGTGCTCGATATTTTTTGAAAATTGATTTGAGGTAAAGGTATCATCAGATTTGTGTCAAGCCAGGGGATGTTCCGAAAACTACATTTCGGACAAAGATAACACTACAAGTTTTTGGTGATGTTGTTTGGTTTGACAAATGCTTTTGCAATTTTTCAGAGATTGATGAATCGAGTTTTACAGCCTTATTTGGGAAAGTTTGCAATTGATTATTTTGATGATATCTTAATATTCAGCTTTTCAATGGAGGAACATGAGATGCATGTGTGAAGTGTTTTACAACTTTTGAGGGACAATAAGCTCTACTTGAAGTTATCAAAATGCAAGTTTGTTTTAGAGATTGGATATCTCGAGCATTTGATTTTAGTATATGGAATGAGACTTGATCCCACAAAGATTCAGGTCATGGTTGATTGGCCTATATCTTTGATAGTGCATGATTTCTATAGTTTCCTTGGTGTGGCTGGAGTTTTTCAACGATTTATAAAGGACTTTTCAAAGATAGCAGCCCCTTTGACTAATCTTCTCTAGAACATGTCAAAACATGTTACTATTCATGGTTAAGATGAGAATTGTGAAGTGGTATTTCAATGTTTGAAGATTTTTTATCCTGAAAAGCCTCTTGTGATCAAGATAAATGCAAGTGACATTGTTATTAGAGCCATATTGCTTCAAGTTGGGCATCATCTTGTGTATATAAGCCATAAGTTTGATGCCACACAACGGAATTAGCCTACTTAAGATAAAGAGTTATATGTTGTGATTGCTACTATGAAGGAATGGCGACATTATCTATATAGATCAGACTTCTATATAGATTCAGACCATTAGTTTCTCCAATATTTCAATCAATAAAAGGATCTTCGAGGCCACCTTGCTCGTTGGCAAGAGTTCCTGTAGGAAATGTCTGTTAAGATCAGATACAAGCATGAAGGTGATAATAAAGTGGCTAATGCATTATCTAGGATGGTAAATTCTGTTTCACTCATAAAGCTATCTAGCAATTTCTTGGATGAGCTTAAAGAGTTTGTGGACTTCAACTCCTTTATCAGTGATATTCGTGCAAAGGTTTTGTTAAGGGACTTCTCTACAGATTTAAAGGGTGACAAGTTTGCATCATTCGAGATACAAGATGAAATCCTAGTGAAGAAGGGACATGTAGTGATTCCTTGTGTTGACAAACTCATCAAATGGATTTTAGTTGAGTGTCATGATATGCCAAATGTTGGGTATCCAAGGGTATTAAGAACATATATGTTAGTGAAGAGGCATTTCTTTTGGCTTGGGATGAAGTCAGATGTTGAAGAATCAGCTATTAGAAGATTTGCTAAGGTCTTTTGTGGGAAACTTGACTCAACAGATAGTATAGGAGAAATACTTACCTTTGCTTCAGTTTGCTCATAATAGCGCTCATCAATTAACTATTGACATATCTCCCTTTATGGTGATATATGGCTATGAGCCGAGGTCTCGTATGAGTTTGAATTTAGCTTTGATTCAGGTACCTCATACTTGTGATTTCCCAGAGGATATGCAAAACAAGCTTGAGTTGACAAAGTTGAACATGAGCCAAGCTTAAGAGTGAAACAAAAGATTGGCTAATGAACATCGTCATCATCAATAGTACAAAGTTGGTGACAAGATTTTCCTTAAGCTGTCAGATGCACAACGGTCTCTAAAAGGAAGTGGCAATGCTAAGTTGTCTCCACAATATTGTGGACCTTGAACAATTTTACAGCATATGGGGGATCTTGCATACACTTTGGACTTGCCAATTAATTTGAAGATTCATCCAACGTTTCATATGAGCAAGCTTAAAACATGTTTGCACTCTAGTGATGTCATGGATCAGTCCATCATCTAAGTTCCAAAGATTGATGCAGAGAAGTCTCAAAGATTAATGAAAACACGCTGGAAGACAACTAAAGAGTTGTTAGTTTAATAGAATGATTATTCCATGGATGAAGTTATATAGGAAATTGAGGATGACATGAAGAGAGTGTTTTTGAATTTTGGTTATGACTTGGATGACATTCATGAGAAAGGGGATAATTGAGTTCTATATCTGTATTACTATATAATTTGAGCCATTTGTTCTATTCTCATTCTCTGGTTTCCATAACCACATTGTCATGTGAAAAAGCTATATTGCTTTCTTTCTTTTGTGGCATTTGTTGTGATGTTAGTGTTGCCATTTACACATCTCTTCTCCATGGCCATATTGCTTTAGACTCCCTACATGTGAAGCTTGTTTAGCTTCTTGAGGCTGTTGTATGTGGCTCATGAAGGAGGGGAAAACCATAAGAATATTCTAAGAATAATCTTGGGATTTAAAGTTAAGGGTTGGGAGGTTGGTCTAGGGTTGGAAAGTTTCATGTTACCTCAAGGAACTTTAGCTGCACCACCACCACTACCTCCTCCACCACCACATGGCAATACTGTTGTGCCACCTCCACCGCCACCACCTCCTCTTCCACAAGCTGCAAGGCCTCTAGCTCATCACTGCTGCCGCCGCTGCCTCCACTGGGAATGCAAGGCACTCCTCCGCCTCCACCTCCACCTTTGAAAGGACAGCCTCCACCTCCGCCACCTCCTCCCGGATCAGCAGTAAGATCTTCTCCACTGCCACTGCCGCCTCCTCTCAGTGTGAAGTCACCATTGCCTGGTGTACCACCTCCTCCGCCACCTGCATTGGGGAGAGGACGAGGTAGTAGTCCTTTGACACCTTCGCCTCCTGGTGGTCGAAGCCGAGGACAGGTTGCTGGTGCTTTGGGTCTGGCATCTGCTACACCGAAGAAGACCTCTCTGAAGCCATACCACTGGGTAAAGGTTACATGGGCTATGCAGGGCAGTCTATGGGCGGACAGTCAGAAGCAGGAAGAGCAGTCAAGGTGTGTCTTGTGGTCTTTTTCTTTTGTTACATGTGCTCACAATTTTTTGAATTTGACATGAATGAGCTAGGGAGCCTCTTCTCGGCCGCTGTTCTGAATGCTGCTGCGGGTGGTGACAGAGCGGGTGGTTGTCGTGCATCTCTAGTTCCCAAGCAGGAAAAAGTGCTCCTGGTGAGCTGCCTTTTGTAATAGAAGCCGAGGCCTCACTTTTGTTTTATTCAGATTGAACATAGACGAGCGTACAATTGTGAGATAATGCTGACAAAAGTGAAGATGCCACTGCCAGAAGTTGTTGTAAGTGGCTATCTACATTATGCAATGTGGTTTTTACTTGAGCACTCAGAAAGCAATACTATGGGACAGTACTGGATGTAGATCAGGTTGATAATCTGATCAAGTTTTGTCCAACAAAGGAGGAGATGGAAACGCTCAAGGTTTTATTTCCAGATATGATCTTGCCATCTAACTTACGCTGGTGGTTTTGCAGAACTACACAGGCGATAAAGAATGCCTGGGCAAATGTGAGCAGGTTTGTCCCACTTTGTCTGAAACAGTATCATTTACTAGACAATATGTTTGTTTTTGCAGTGTTTCCTGGAGATGATGAAAGTTCCTAAGGTAGAGTCCAAATTTCTTTTAAACTTCAGTTCACCTCGCAGGTTTGGTCAAAATTATTTTGTCTACCCTTTCAAACGTTGGTATCAGGTGTCAGATTTACGAGAAAATCTGGTAGTAGTCAATGAAGCTTCAACAGAGGTAATTTCGACTCTTCTTGTAAGTTGCAGAGTCTCCTAAGCTTGAAAGAGTGATGCAAACGGTTCTGTCCCTGGGAAATGCGTTAAACCAAGGAACTGCTAGAGGTAAGAAGAGTGCCAGGGAGCTTGAGCTAAGTAGCAAGTGTGGCTGTTGTTCCAGGGGTGGCGATTGGATTCAGACTCGATAGTCTACTTAAGCTGAAAGAAACTCGAGCTCATAATTCTAGAACTACGTTATTACATTATGTGTAAAGTAAGGTGCAACTGTTTTGGCTCGTGACACTAGTGGCAGATTGCATCCGAGAAAGTGCCCGAAATACTTGATTTCGACAAGGAATTGCTTCACCTTAAGGCAGCCACCAAGGTTCTTATATTTCGTACTCTAGTATTTGTGTCTTGGTTTTCTGATCTGTGTTACAGATTCAATTGAAGGCTCTTGCAGAAGAAATGCAAGTCGTAAGCAAAGGCCTGGAAAAGGTTGAGCAGGAATTGACAGCGTCTGAAAACGATGGAGCCATCTCTGATGGGTTTCGAAAGGTGATGTTTGCCTGCTTTGCGTGCATTTTCCTAATGTTTTCTATGCACGCACAGAGCTTGAAGAGTTTCCTTGATATGGCGGAGGCGGAGGTGAGAACACTGGCGTCTTTGTACTCTGAAGTGGTGAGAGATGTTAAGTTTCTATGTATGGCTTGTTGAAAGCATTGTCACTTTGCAGGGCTGCAATGCCGATTCCTTGGCGCACTACTTCAATGAGGATCCCACTCGCTGTCCATTTCAGCAAGGTACTTAACCATTTGGTCTGTATGCACTTGATTTTACAATGCTCGACATCTCTTGGTTTTGGTGCGCAGTGGTGTCGATCATTTTTAATTTCATCATGATGTTCAAGCGTGCATTGGAAGAGAACAGCAAGCTAGTGGAGATGGAAAGGAAGAAAGCCAAGGAGGCCGACAAAGACAAGGTTCTCCCACAGAGAAGAGAGCTGGATGGGCTACTGGCACCCCAGTGAAGCAGGATAGCATGACCATTTAAGTTGGAGATTTTGAAAGGGGGTCTTTGTTTGTACATTCTTCTAGATAGATTATTGACAGAAAGAAGATTTTTGAAGACAAGAAAGTGAATGACATTGTCCATTCTTCTAGATATGAAGTACAAATGTATAGTTATAATGCCATATACTAATATTAATGTAGTGGGATTTTAGTAACTGTTGGATTGGTTTTAATTCGGACCATTCGTTTTTATATATAAACTAAGGTTTTTGGGTTAATTGATATGCACATTTTGTGTATTCCCTTTTTATATTCCATGCGCTCACATTAGTGGAGATGAGGAGCACCTTTGATTGTCCTTAAAGAATGCTTAGATTTAGGATTTTGGTTTAAATATAACTTTCATATCGTCTAGATCTAGTTCTTTCCATTGATTTAGATCTAACTTTTGCATTGTCTAGATCTCCCTTTCGTTCTAGCTTTTTTTCATTTTTCTTCTTTTGCTCTTTCCTTTCTATTCATCTTCATGGCAAAGTAATAGTCTTCTCGTCCTTTGACTCTAGAGCAGTAGTTAGTGCAATTGCTTGATGCTATGTAATTGCAATTGAACAACTAAACTCAGTTGATGGCAGCATTCACGGCACGTGGTATAGCTCCTCGTGCTCTTGGTTCCAATTCTTGCGTTTAACTAGAATTCTTTCGTGGGAATCCTAGGGATGATGTGTACCATTGGTTTGATTACTTTACAGTGATTGCCACACATCATTCTTAGGATGATGCTCAACATTTGCATGAGTTTTCAACGTGTCTCCAAGGGTGTGGCTAACACTTCATCAAGATTTTATTAGACTTATGCATACACTTGCTTCAGCCACCTTTGATGATATTCTTTGCTTGGCACAACATTATGAGACATTGCTTCTTCCACTTTTCATTATACATCCTTCAGCTCCACTTCTTGTGGGCGATGGTTTTGTTCCAATGGAGGTTGATGTTGTTGCTACTCGAGTCCAAGGACAAGGGCAAGGATGTGGTCATGGCCGTGATGTTTGTTGTTGAGCGTGTGATGAAATTGGTCACACTTATTAGCATTGTCGGTGTTTTCTAGATTGGTAGCCTCCATTTCCTAGGTGGAGACCTTGGCATCAACAATGTCTTATTGGTGTTGCTATAGTGCAAGATCTGGACACTGAAATGCATCTAAGAAACGAGGAGTCACGTGAGTAATGGAGGGACCTTGTGTGAATAAGTCAGTGACCCTTCCATCTTTCTTTCGGGAATTAAGGGGTTTACTTGGCACTAGTTCATTAAATGTTTACTTTCCAAGCTCGTTTTTATAACAAGAGGTCTTCTATTATTCTCTCCATGTTGGTTGATACAGGTTCAAGTTTACCTTCTATTGCTTGACCTATTGCCACACAATGCCATTTACACTTGCATCGTGCGGTGGAGCCAATTTTCATTCTTTATGGCAACGGTCATATATATATGAGGCGGACCTAGTTGTGCGTGTGGGCGATCTCAAGCTTGGGTTGCAATCGCCAAGTCAAGCTTTTGACCTCATCTTTGGTATAGATTGGTTGCAACGCAATCATGCCAAGTATGACTTTGAGGCTTCTCCTTCTTGTATCATACTTCTTTATATTTCATCCGTTCCTCTCACTTTCGTACTTCTTCATCCCTCTACTTCTCACTCTATTTCTATTACTTTTGTTTCCCCACTACTTCCTTCTATGTTTTCGTCTTATTCCACTCTTCCCTTTTTTAATGCATCCAATAGTCTTCATGTTGCAGTGGTGGACCAGCTCATGAAGGAGTATGTTGATCTCTTTGAATTTGACCTATCACTAGGACCAAGATTGCCACACGTCATTTGATTCCAACTGAGGATGCTCATCTAATCAAGGTTTCTATTCATTGTCGATCACATAAAGAGATCAAAATTTTATGTATAAACGTCAAAGAGATGTTGGAAAATGGTGTTATTCGAAAGTCATAGAGTCCTTGGGCATGTGAATCTCATCTTGTGACAAAACCTGATGGGAGTGATTGTTTTTGTATCGACTATTGTCCGTTAAACAAAGTGATAATCCTGGATGTGTACCTTCTTCCTCACACTACTAATCTCTTGAATCATCTAGGAAGAAGTCATTGGTTCACCAAGCTAGATCTTGCTTCTAGGTACTGGCAAGTACTAATGGCCAAATTAGATATTTTTAAAACTGTTTTTTGTATACTGTTTGGTTGTATGAGTTCTTGGTAATGCCATTTGGTTTGAACAATGCTTTAGCAACTTTCCAGCGAATGATGGACAAAGTTTTTTGCGATATGCTGGAGGCGACTACTAACTTTATTGATGATATCTTGATCCACTCAAAAGGGCCGTGGGAGGAACATATCCATAATGTTTATAAAGTGTTAGATTGACTAAGGAACGTTAGTTTATAGCTGAAGTGGTCGAAGTGTGTGTTTGGGTCCAAGGACACAATTTTTCTTGGGTATTATATTTCTCATAAGGGTTTGCAAGTTGATTAACAAACTTATAGCTATTATAAAGTTCCCTACTCTGAAGTGTGTGAATAATGTGCAATACTTCTTGGGCAAGGAGTAATATCTCAGTCGTTTTGTGGATCATCTTTCTGATCACACTACATCATTGTGAACATTGCTGAAGTTATCAACGTCATTTTTCATTTGGTCTCTGAATTGTGAGTTCATAGATCTCAAAGAGCTAATGACAACTCCTCCAATTTTGGCATATCCTAACTACACTCTACCTTTCATTTTATGCATGGATTCTTGATTAGTTTTAAAGGAGTGTTGATGCAAGAGAGCCCAAGTGTGCCTTGTCAACGCTATCCCATTGTGTATATAAATTGCACATTACAACTAGTGAAGGTGAACTATTCCACGATAGAGAAAAAGTGTTTAGCAGCAATTTGGGGTTTTGAAAAACTTCATGCATATCTACATAATTCTCAGATGTTACTAAAAGGTGATCATGCTGCTGTTATTTCATTATTGAAGCGGAAGAACCTAGTTGGTCATACTACTTGGTGGGATTTGAAGCTTCAGATATATAATTTTGATGTTGTTCATCACCCAAGGAGTTCTATAGCTAATGCTAATGCATTTTCTTGAACTCCTCTTCCTTCTTCAATCTCTTCTCATGTTTTTAACAAATTTGTTGTTCCAGCATTTGTGGATTTTTTAGACGAGGATTTTGTGCCATCGGTAGTTGTTATACTTGACGTTCAGTATCCACAAAAGCAAAATCTACCTTCTCTTGATGAAGTTCGCGATGCTCAAAAGATTGAGCCATGGATTCGAAGATTTTGAGATGGGTTTAAGAATTTTGCATCATTTGCTGATGACTTGCTATTTCGGCATTTACATTCTTAATATCACCTTGAAGACAACCTTCTTTATTTTGTGGGGACAGATCCTAATAATCATTTACAGCTAGTGGTGTCTTCCGTCTTTATTCCATGGTTTCTCCATGCATACCATGATTCTCCTCCATTGACCAGAGTTTCCCCGGGATGTAATCTCTCATGTTGAAAACCCTAGCCAGCCTCAAAATGTCCACTATTGCTTGCACAAACTTGTCGACATCAGCCAGCATGTAAGTTATCATAGTCATGTTCATGCGAGTAGAATAGACTCCCACATTCGTCAAAGAGGGATCGAGCAAGACGGTGTTGCTCCTCTCGTCTCTGGAAATTACTTTGGAGACCACTACAGTGGTATAGCTTTCAGCCATTACACTCCAGAAGTGAAATTCTACAGGAAACTTATCAACAAATTCGCTGGCTGGACATCCAAGGTTTGGAGAAGCAATAAGATCATGGACAGGGTAAACAGGCACCTCTTTTCAATCTTGCAAGATCGGCATGAGAACCTCTGGTTTTCACCAGCGAGGAGCCCATGGCATTCATAGACTTGCTCATTTCCAGAGAAAATCTCTGAGACATCATCATAGTCTCTTGCTCGTTAAGTTTTAGCTCAACATGGAAAAATGGAATCTCACAGGATCTGTTGCTGGGAGCTCTAGCTACCTCGGCTCTCTCGCTGGAATGGGCTATGGCTGATCTTCTCAGGAATCGCCGAGTTCTCGGCTCAGAGCCAAATCGATGCAAAGAAAAGCTTGTGGACGAGTCGGACATTGCAAAGCTTCCATACATCGAGGCCATAGCCAAGGAAACACTGAGACTCCTGGCTCAGCTAGCTCTTCCCAATATCGTCCAAGGAGGCCCGATTAAACTCAGGGGCTATACCATCCCAGACGGGGATGGTCCAAAGTTGAGTTGAGCTCATGAGTTGAGCTCAATTCAACACAAGTCAACTCAAGTCAACATAGTCAATAAGAAATATTACTAAGGAGATCTAAATTGAATAAATGAAGGTTCTAGCAAACTTTAAAATATTAAAATACGTAAATATCTAAGTTAAAAGTTTCTATAAGATTGAATTGTTTAAAAAAGACAAAGTCCTATCTTTTATAAAACTATATTATTTTATTATGACAACTGTTACAGCTGTCATATTTGATTTGACTACTTAATATTTTGAATACTTTTACAGCTGTAGATACTATTCCTTCATTCAAAAGATTTTTTAGGGTTCTTGAGAAGATGGGAAGCAAGGAAAATACAAGATCTGTGAGTAAGAGTTGTAGTGCAAAAGAATGTGAGAATGTTAATTTTGTTTCACTACCACAATCTCCATATTACACTCCCGGTCCTTATTACCCATTTGGGAATGTGGAGACCACTATCACGATTGATAAAAATGCTCCTGTTACTTCTGAAACAACAGTCCAGAGCAAGAGAAATGAAGAAATGAACAGCACGGCGGAAAACACCAAAAAATCTACTCCATAAAACTTTCCATGACATTTGTAATTTACATATTAATTCATATTAAAAACTCTATTGCTTGCCTATATCGCAATCCTCTCATATGATAAGACCAAGGTATATTTTGCAGTGAATCCTCATTAAAAGTTTTTGGGAAT